ATCGTCAACGGGCCCGGCGAGATGGCGGACGCCGATTTCGGCTACGTCGGCGGCGCGCCCGGCAAGGTCGACTTGTACGTGGGCAAGACGGTCGTGCAGCGCGCCATCCCGAACGAGGTTGCCTGCGACGCGCTCGTGGAGCTCATCAAGGAGCACGGGATGTGGAAGGATAAGGAGGAGGAGGAGGAGGAGGAGGAGGAGGAGGAGGAGGAGGAGGAGGGGGAGGAGGAGAGCAAAGCGGCGCTCGAGGCAATGGCCGCCTAGTTGTAGTTCCGACTCTTGCAGCGCTGGGGTCGCACCCGCTCCTGTGCTGCTGCGTGCCTGTACGATACTGCATACTGCAACGCATAACACTGGCGACTGGGCCGCAAATTGGCAAAAAGTGTATTTCTCGAGCGGGCCAAAAGCAAAACCCAAATCACTAGTCAGATCCTCGTGTATGCAGCGGATCCTTCGCCTGTCCGCATCCTTTACCTTTATAGTGACGCCGCCCCAGCCCGTCCTAAAGCCGTGTGTAACGCGTTTCTCGGCGCGTTTGGAACTTCTTGGATCGATGAGACGAGAGACCATATGCAATGCGGTGTGTCATCGGTGTGTCCAATCCAGAGACCGAGAGAGATACAGTTAGCAGTTACAGATAGCCGTCCTTGTGCCGTCCCGAGTGCGTGGAGCTAGGTGCCCCTCGCGGCTCGCCGCCCTCGCAGGAGTCGCTTAGCATAGGCGGCTCCCGTGTCTTAGACTTAGTGCCAATGCGCGCCAAAGTGCAAAGAGAAAGCGCATACATAGCAAACAAGAACACGTACGCACACTCTCTGACAGACTGATTCTCTCTCGCATTACAAGGGACACTCTCGACTCTGTCTGTCATGTCCGGGAGGACAAGAGATCCACCGAGGTGCGAGGATGGACAACCTACTCGAGAAGAACCCCCGAGCCGAGCCGGCGCTGCCGATCACTCCCCCAGGCGATCATCCGGCAGCGCTCGCCCTTCCGCCACCCCTTCCCCCACCACGCCACGTCCCCTTCAACTGCACCACCGCCCGGAGCTCAAGACCTTTGCCACCAGCCGCCTCGCTTCCGCGACACGGGATGGCAGGCACGATTCGTTTCGGCGACCGCGAGCTCACTCCCCCAGTCCCACTCCAGCATCTTCCCAGCCTCCTCCACCGGGCGGCGCCGCTCCCACGCCACGCCGCCTCTAGCACCACCTCGCGGTCGCGATCGCTCGAAGGAGCACCGGACCCACTCTCGGAGCGCAAAGTCCTCCTGGTCGGGGAAAGAAAGAAACAAAGGCTGGAATTCTAGGATTCGAAAATTCTTTTTGAGCCACACGACGGCGGATGATATCCGACAGTCGTGACCAAAAAAGGCCCACATCTCAGCCTCTAGCCCCACCTCGCGGGGTCGCGATCGCTCGAAGGAGCACCGGACCCACTCTCGGAGCGCAAAGTCCTCCTGGTCGACACGAATTCGGTTTTAAAATTCTTTTTGAGCGACACGACGGCGGATGATATCCGAGACATCTGACTGAAGCGGCTGCCTCAGTCGTACTCGGGAAACCTGGTGGTTGACGTATGGACAGTCGCCGCCGACCGCGCTACGCCCGCGTGCATCTCACAAGCCCACCCTCTTCGCTGGAGCTAGCAGAAGCGCCGGAGAGCGAGCGGCTGGCGGTATTCGCGGACTGCTCTGGCACGCCGCCACGGCTACTTCCGCCGGCCGAGGAGCGCGTGACGCTCTGGAACGTGCCTCTCCCCGCTCCCGCCGCCGCCGCGCTAGCAGACGAGCTGGGCCGCGATGGTTCCGCCTGCGCCACACTGATCCTCACAGAGAATGCTCTGGGCTGCGCGGGCGCCTCGCTTCTCGCAAAGACCTTGCGTCGGCTGCGATGGCTCGAGCTGACTGACAACGCGATCGGCGACGCGGGCGCGGGCGCTGTCGCCGCCGCGATCGCTGATCGCGCTTGCTCGCTGTGCTGGCTGGGTCTCGCCGACAACCGGATTGGCGACGCGGGCGCAGCGGCGCTCGCGCGCGCCCTCGCACACAACGCGGCGCTCGAGGCGCTTGACTTGCAGTCAAACAAGCTGGGCGACGGCGCGGCGGCGGCGCTCGCCGACGCACTGCGCGTCAACCTGACGCTCCAGTGGCTCGACCTCCAAATGCGCGCGCCCCCGCCCCGAGGACCGATCGTCACCGAGGCCTAGCCCTCACGGGCTGGCTCGTCCCGGCTCTCCGCCCGCAGGAATGAGATCGACACTGCCGGTGTGGTGGCGCTGCGGTCCGCGCTCGAGGCGCAGGTCGCGAGCCCGCGGAGAGGGTGCGGGCTGCAGCAGCTCCACCTGTGGGACAACGCCTACAACGCGCCCGGACGGACGGACTGGGCCGACCCCGCGGTCGCTGCGGAGGCGCCGAGGGCCCTCTCGAGCTCGACCCCTCGACGTTGAGCTCTGCGCAACGGTTGAGGGTTGATGATAGGCGCGGGGGGAGGAGGTCGAGCTCGCAATCGCAGAGGCTCGCAAACACACACACTGCTCACACCGCGCATGCGCTCTCAATGGCCGAGAGACCCCCTATAGCTGCCGTTAGCCTGCTCTTGGCCCGTGTGGGGGGAGAAGCATTCCTACCTACCTCGCTTTCCTGGCCCTAGGCGCTGCGGCGGAACGCGTCCTCGGCGCGCGAGCGCGTGTACGCTGAGCAGGAGGCGCAGGGCCTCAGAGATGCGAGGCTCCAGCGCGAGGCGGCGGACGCCGCCGCGCAGAGCCGCCGCGCCGCGGCACTGCCGGCGTCGGCGTCCGAGGTTGGGGTGGCGGTGACGGCTGCCGTGTCGGACGCCGCGTCGTGGCTGCAGAGGGCCGTGTGGGGGAATGGCGGAGGATAAAGAGCCAGGAGCGCCCTGACCCCTGTCAAGGGTGTTGCGACAGCGCGCGCGGCTCGGCTGTACTGAACACACACGCTCTCAGGTCGGTCCCAACCCGCGCCCACCGTTCCCCAGTGTTGCCATGTCGGGATACGGCTTTTATTTCGACCCCCGCCGTGAAGCGAAAAAAAATAACACTGCAGGAAAACACCCCGCTGGGATGTGGGAACTGGGTTTTTTTCGCCGTCTCGCGCACACGACTCGTCTTGTGAATGCTGAATCACACTGTGTGTATGTCTATGTGTGTACTCCCCGCCGCTTAGGTCTATGGCTACTCTATGTCGAACCACTTGCGAGGCAGTCCACTGCCTTTCGCCACGTGCGCACGCGAAAGGCCACGTCGTTCACCAGCGGCGTGTAGCGCGCCGACTCGGTCTCCTCCACGAGCGTCCACAGCCCCTCCTCCTGCAGCCTCTGGCACGCGTTGGGGAGCGGGCTGCCCTCCCAAAAGTCATCGCGTATGGACGCGCAGATTACACCACCGGGCCGAAGCCACTCCAGCCACGTGTGCAGCGTGGCGCCGTCCTCGACGTGGTTCGGCGTGAGAGTGCCGACGCAGACCACCGCATCGAGTGAGCCGGGCGGGAGCAGCGTCCGGTCAGTGAGGTCTCCGCGCAAGAGCTCGCGATAGCAGCCCTTCGTGGCTGCAATTCGCAGCATCGGAGCCGAGAGGTCCACGCCGAGGACGTGCGAGAAGCCGAGGCGGCTCAGGTGCTCGCCCACCTGGCCTGTACCAGCGCCCGCGTCGAGCACCACCGCCGCGCTAGCGTCAGCAACGTGCCGCTCGAGCGCCAGGGCAGCCGCGCCCGGTGCTGCGTAGCCAAACGACCCGACCGAGTCTGCGTCGTACGTGGGCGCCCAGGCCTCGTAGGCGGCGAGGAGCTCTGCGCGTGTGCTGGCGGCATAAGTTGCCTCCCACGGCGCTGGCAGCTGTGAGAGGAGGCGCCTGGTGGTGCGCGGTCTCGCGAGACGCATCGAAGCGAAGGTTTGTCTGCTATAGCCGCAGCGGCCCGCGTCTCGTTTGCCGGCAATAAAAGAAAAACGCATCCCTGTACTTTCTTT